CTTTCGGTTTCTGTCTGGGCCATGTCCTCAGCTTAACTTTTCTTCTTGCCGGTTTTCATTACTGTGGCTTATTGGGTTTCTTGACCATCTTTGGTCAAACCTACTTATTTAGGAAATTATAGAAAGACATGGTATACTCTCAAGTGATGAGCTGTGAAGATAGATTAGACCCCATGGAAAGCTAGTATTATGATGATCATCTTCAAAACTTGCTCTCCTCTATGAGAACACTGTGTATCTACTGGTAGAAGCTTTCGACTTACGCTGCCAAATATTGCAAAATCAAATCTTAATAGTAGCATTGTGACTTAAATTAAACTCTTTTTTTTAATAAATCTCAGAAAGGTGGTCTGACTGCTAGAGAAATTGGGTACTCAACAGTGTTCATGCCAAGATAATAATGAGACGAGACGGGATGATATAGAAGTCTGTGTGGATGGGAGACACAGCCACTGCACTCACATCTGTGGAACGTTTATGAAGGTGCTCTCGAGGTAATCATCCTACAGCAGGTGTTTGGACTGGAAGTCTTGGAAGTTCCCCGAACAGTCTAGTCTTGAACAGCTAGACTACTGGCTGAGGTTGCTTCCCTCGGGCCAAACTGTTTTTGGCTTAGCTAATTTGACTGTTTCTCACCTCGTAAGCAGACCAACTTTCTGAAAGAGTACTTACAGGTTCTCTCAGGCTCCTTCGGTTCCTACTCTGTGGTTAATAGTGATCCAAGTTCAATAGGGAAAACCTGAAGTTTCTCATAGGACTGCTTTGAAAATAGGAGGCTTTACCCTAAAGAGGAACTTTTAAAACTATAGGCAAATTCAGTTTTACAAGAGCAAGTTCAAACAAAAGCATTTATGGTTGATATCCAAGAATGTGTCCAAATCTTCCATTTATCTTAAACTTAAGATAGACATTCCTATGGAAAGTAAAACAAGATCAACCTACATTTCTGCATTTCTTTCCTGGTTTGTAGAACAGTTTCACTAACGGGCTCTCTCCCGCTCTCCCTCTGTTCTCTCTCTCTCTCTCTCTCTCTCTCTCCCTCCCTCCCTCCCTCCCTCCCTCCCTCTCTCTTCCTCTCTCCCCTGTGTGCATGCATGTTTAACTTTCTTTTTGTCTGCAATTTCCATAATGTTCTCGAATCTTCGTATTAAGGAAACACTATTCAGGAAACAGTGCAGCCACCGAAAGTTTGATTATCTACATTCTCACCGTCCTGTGAAGCAAATGAGGTAGGCTCAGTAGACACTGGCTAGGCCCAGACAGTATGAAAAATGCAATTTAGCCTGAGTCATTGCTTGTTATTTTTATAAATGAGACCCTAACTCTGATGGACCCCAGTGAACGGCTGCGGTGACTAAGCAGGGACAAGGCCGCTGGCTTCTGCAGGGTGTTATCTTATTTGCAGCACATTTCAAACTTCAGAACCCATTTTTCCATTGGAAGTCGAAAGCTGAAGATTGTCAGCAGAAAAGGCTGATTCACTCTCCGGAACTTATCTTACTCTGAGTTTCAGGCGGAGCTTTGAAAGGGGGAGGTTATCTAGGGCTGGTGAGACGGCTCAGTGGGTACAGGCACTTGCTGCCAAGCCTCATGACTTGAGTTTGATCCTGGAAATCCACATGGTGGAAGCAGAGAACCTTCTCCTGCAAGTTGTCTGGGTTCCACACAGGTGCCATGGCATGTGTGTGCCACGTGCACACACACACACACACACACACGCACGCACGCACACATGCAAATAAAAGAAAAAATGTAATAAATATTTTTCCAAAAGAGGTTACCTAGAATCTAGAGAAAAATTATGACACATAACGATCAGATCAAGGGCAACGTGGGCATCTTAACCGCCTTGGTACTTAGGCTTATTTGAATGGGAACTTCTTATCGTTAGACACCTCCATTTCAGCACAAAGTTAACAGTTTTTTTTTCTTCAAACATTTCTTTAGAGGCAAGAGTCTTTACTAGTTGGAATCATAACTTTAAGCTCATTTTTAGTAGTTGGTAAGATGATATTTAGGAAGCAGAGCCTTGACAAGATTCTAGGAAAATATATAAGGAAACCCTTGTATGATTTTGATAGTGGTGCGCTCATGATTAATTGGCCATTGCTTTGACTTGGAACCGTATATAGACTTTGAAGAAGACTAAAGGTCTACATTCTCAGAAAATTGTGAAAATATGTCAGAAATCCCTTAAATGAAGGGAACTATGGAAATGGCAGACAATGGTTTTGATCTGAGACAAGTATTAAGATTCTGCTCGGAAAATGCTAACATCTATGAAAAAAGAGCAGACAGGATCTTATTATCATAGTGAGACCTGTGTTGCCACTGAACTGCATGGCAGAGGCCCAGAGTGGTCCACTATAGGTCCCTACAAATTAAACAGGAAAGTTGTGGTAGCTGGAACTATGAAGCCCTAATAATACATTGCCATCCTTGACCACAAAGCAGGTAGAGCCAGAAAGAGAGCCCACACAGAAATTCCCAAGGAAAGTGGGAAAGTGGGTGCTTTCCACTATTTATCTCGTTTTTATCCTTGGATGGGGCAGCCTTCCCATTACCACTAATTAGACCTGCCAAAGCCATTGTTCTAACTTGTTGCTTCAGAAAAGGGGCATGTGATCCCTCACAATGTGATTTCCAGAAATGCCAGCTGCTGACCAACGTCTCCAGCCTTCGGCAGGGCAGTTTGGTCCCTGAGAGAAGAGGATGCTTCACAACAAGTTTGTCCTTGCAAAGCTGATGGAAGTGGCGGTTGTGGGAGGTAAGGCACAGGTGTGAGGACAGTCGACAACTTGAGAGAAAATGATTTTGCTCCACATACTGTCTTTGCAGAGTTAGCACTGAGAAATGTAATTGCAATAAATTGGCATAAAAACCAACCAGGAGAGGGACTGGAAATCCCCCTGGAGACACCAGACTGTCACTTCCTCCTAATGGCAGCGAAAGATAATTGTGGACAAATACAGTGGAGTTACATCATTGCATTTTTCTCTCGGCAATGTGCTTGTATTTGTTGAAGAAATTGATTACTTCCTCTGCTTCCAAAGGATGACACAAGCCATGAAGCCAGGGAGGAAAAGGTCTACTCTTTATTTCACCCCAACACTTGGTTAATTAGAACATACTGGACGGAAAAGGGGCTGAGGCACAGTTCTCTGTTGGATTTCTTCTAAGTTTCTTTTGCTGCATTAAAAATATGGCACCTGGCATGCACTTTGCCCTCTTTATGACATCATGAAGCTATCTGCTTTATCATATCCCCTTTCTGGTCACAACTGGCTTTTGGATTCTCCAGAATGCCAACACAGAGTCACATGCAAATGCTCACACACAAAGGACTGTGCTCAAACTAGATGGGGAGGCGTTTGTCCATCCACCCTCCCCCCCACTCCCCCAAAGCGGAAAGAATCCTGAGGGTTTTCCGTTGTCAGGTAAAACTGTCAGAAAGAAGGAAAAATAAGCCAGCTTTGGCCATCCTTCACACGGCTGTTACTCATTCTCTGAGGAGTTGATGGTTAACTAGCCAGATCTCTCTCTGGCTCCCTTAGCGCTGTAGGAGGGGTCTGCAACCCCTGAATTATTAACCACCAGGAAAACTCACAGTTAACATCCATCTCCCACCCCAGCCACACTGTCAAAGGAAATATCTCTTCTGGTCCACAGTGTGTGACTTCAGTAAGTGAAAGTGAAGAGGCTGATACAGCTTGCAGTGACTGTCGTAAGAAAGTGTCATCATAGGGGGAAAAATGAGTGGGAGAGGGAAATGTGTGAATGTTCCACATGATTAAACTTCTTGGTTCTTGAATGTTCTCAGTAGCAGTTGAGATAGGCGGCCAGCCCCTTGCAAACACAGAGACCTGCAAGTAGCGTCCCATAAAATATGGATTTTATTGCAGCAGCGACAACATTTCTCAGTACCACGCTGACCTCGCCAGCATCTCCCATCTCGAGATGGACTGTAACTCTTGGCAGGCGAATAACTACGGAGGAAGTGACCCTAGCTTTGCTGCAGTGTAGGACGCTGCTATAACCGCCTTCATTAAATTCCACACGAACACAGCGGGAACTCCGCTCTCGCATTTGACACCTAAAATCAGGCGCACCAAGGTCTGCTCTCCAAACAGTCGGAGGAAGGCATTCTCCCCCAGACGTGTGTGAGTGCGTGTGTGCGTGTGTGTGCAGCCATGGAAGAGCATCCGCGAGTGGCGTCTCCATATGACTTTTCCCTGGACAGTGTGATCCATTTTCGAAGTCCAGTGTCGGACTTGCCTTGCAACCCAAGCATTTCTGTCCTATAGAAGCCGGCAGGCATTGCTCCGAACATGCAAGCTAACAGTTTTCTTTAGCTCATTCAGCCAAACCATCTCTATAAGTTTTCCTTATTGGGAGCATTCCAGACTTTTCAGACTACCTGAATTCATTTCTGCGATACCCTCAAAGCCAAAGAACGTAACTCAGCCCAAGCAGACAACACACAGACCTTTGTATTGTTGGGTGGGTGGAAATAAATCAATCCCCAAACGGTTCCACCGCTCCTGCACGCACTAGCGCCCTTGGTAATTGACCAGCCAACTTTGCAAAGCTGGAGCTCGGCAGGCCGCCTCTGCCAGCCCCATGGAGAGGACGTCGCAGCTTCCTCTAGTCCGCACTGTTCCCTGACACCCCCCACAAACCCCAAGGCGGCTCCGTCTTACCAGGCGGCGGAGGAGCGGCGCCCAGGCTCCCCGGGAAGCGGCGCCGGTCCTGAGCAGGGGCAGCAGCGCCACCAACGCAGCCCGACCCGCGCGCCCGCCCGCACTCCAGCTCAGGGCTGAGCATCCCTCCCAACTCCGCGCACAGCACACACCCGGCGCAGAGGACCGCTCTCTTTCCCTGATTGGCTTCCAGCAACACTACAGAATTAAAGCTATGTATACATAAAGAAGAAAGAGAAGGAAAGAAAGAGAGAAAACGCACGCACCAGCTCCGGCATTACCAACAGAGACTGAACCCACCTCTGTTCGCCTTCCGGATCCCGGGGACACCCTGCAACTAGCCCAGGATGCTCCTGCCTCCGCCACGGTTGCCGGCTCTGTGCTTCTTGCTGCTGTGGCTGGAACTGCAGCTCTCGGGATGGGAAGGTTATGGCTCGGGAGAGCTGGCTCTTGTGGGCACACACTGATTTGCAAGTGAATGAAGTGGGAGGGAGCAAAGAGAGGAGGACTTTGTTACAGAGGCCCAGTGCCTGCCCCCGCCCGCCCCCTCCCCTTGACAGAATGACTCCCAGTGTTTGAAGTCCGGAGCAGTTCGCTCTCTGGAACACTCCTGCAGCCCCAGGCTTTCCCTTCCTCTTTTTTCTTATATTTTTTGGGGGGTGGGGTGGGGTGAGGGTGGGCGGGGGACGGCTTAAGACATACTGAGAACTTGTGTGACTCTATCTGATCTTTCTTTTATGCTATCAAAATGCACCGTGTTCAATTACCAGCAACGGTCGGATGTTCTTTTCTAATAGATCCAGGCAATTAAGATTCCCGGGGACACGGTACCTCGTGGCGCTGTGGGCCAGTTTGGGTAGATAGCGCGCACAACATGCACGCGAATAAAATAACCCTGGTCTCCTGAGGTAACAATACCGACGGCTGTTCTTTACAGCATAAACAGACGCGAGCAGCCAGATTCATGAATGTCTTTGCTTCTCTCATTTCAAGAACACACGGGTCTTTTTTTTTTTTTTTTAGCTTCGGGAGCTCTGGTGCTGTTTTGGAGTGGATAATTCCATAGTGCTGTAGCATGAAGCCATATGCCCCCGAGAGTGGAGAAACGGTTCAAATCCAAACCCCTCATTCTCACCAATGTCTTCATGGATGGTCCATCATTCTAAATAAGGTGATACCAGGATACACTGTACTTACAGATGAGGGTGTATGTTGGTATTTAAAACTCGTTTAATGTTTTGAGATCTTTCTGGGAAGTTCCTGAAATAAGATAACATCTATGCTAAACTCCTCGGTACACATAGCTATCTTGAATGGCTAGCCTTATACTTGCCAAGAAACGACTTGTACTATGAAGGGACTAAGCTGCAGAAATCTTAACTACGTCAAAGCATTGTTAAAGGGGAAATCATGACTTTTCTGCCTAGAAGATGTAGACATGTTGCAGCCAGGCACTGTTGGATTAAGAAAATTAAATTTAATTACCACAATGGTTTCACCCCGGGTCAGTCACATCCCAAGCCAGCTGTTTTGTGCCTTGCTACAAGCTCTCAGCAAGATTTTCTTTGCCTAGTGCTCTAAAGACATTCCAGCCACTTCGCTTCTGAGCGATTTAACTAGCTAGAGGTTGGTCTTCTTCCCAAGAGAGCTCTTACTAGAAAATCTTTTGTGTCCTTAATAGAAGTTCAGGCATTTTAATGAAGCCCAAATCAAAGTGTTTCTTCCAGGCAGTCGGTGCTTCAAAGAGTTGTATGTGCAACGGTCTTAGCACAGATGTTCTGCACATGGATGGTGGAAAGACTTGAAAAGACAACCCTGTGACGGAGAACTGCTTGTGGTTTGCAGACAGGAGGCTGAACATGTTCCCTTCATGTGACCATTTGAACTGCAGTGGAGCAGGGCGAATGGAGCAGACAGCTGCTTCACATACACTCACCCCTCAGGTTGTATGCCTCTTAATTTGAAAGACTATCTTGGCATGTCTGTATAGTCCTTTACAGATCCCAAAGTATTCTTTGAGACCATTTGATGTGATTCTTTTGTCAATATGATGTGATTATTTTTTTCTGCCGAAAAAAACGGAGGAGAAAGGTTGATAAAGGCACAGTAGAGGTTAAGAGCTGTGCCTAAGGTAATAAAACTAGGAAGAACAAGAGATGAGAAACCTGGATGTGTATATGCCAACCAGGGTGTCCACAAAGTATGTGTGCATTTATGATTTAGTAGCATGCATGACAATATATTAATAAGGGAGCATATGCAAGTATGTTAATAAAAACACATTGTGTAAGAGTGCCTCTAGCAGACAGATGTATAAATTAACTGATTTTATGCTATAGGAAGGGTGTTAGTGAAGAAGATTTTCTATCCATCGAACCAGTTAATATCTCACAAAGGAAATCTCTTAATTATTTTTGATGTATTACCCTTCAAACTCCATTAGCTACACATTAAGGGTGGTTAAAACAACCTCATTTTATTAAGAGTGGACAATCAGCTTGCTCCCGAACAGTTTCATGTGGCAGCATTAAGTGACTTTAAAGAGTTTGTAACCCCAGGATATTACACTAAAGGACTTTATGTGATTCTTGGAACTTCCTACTGACATTTACCACAAGGAACTATTAATGTTCAATTATGATATCGATAAAAAAAATACCCAGGATTATTCCATCCTTCTTTCAGAGGCAGTGGACAGAGCATTGCTCATTGCTGCTAAGTCCTGCTGTAAGTTGCTCTTTGGCACCCTGGAACACCTTGACAAGTCATCGACTTCGTTCAGAAAGTGCTGAACAAATGTGGCAGTCCTTATCATCACATGGGGTTGTGTGATGGGCCCAGGAGGGCAACTCTGTAGAGGCTCCCTACACCTGGAAAGGCCTAGATGCAGGTGTCGAGGAGGCATCCGCACTCTGCTCTGAGTTATTTTCCCTCCTTCCCTTCTACTGTTGCTTCGTCCTTCTTCGCACTTGCCCCCTCTGCCCTTCAGTCCACAAGACAAACAGCACCACCCATGGCTTAGTCCAGAAGCTTCCCTGCTAGAAAAGCGAGACAAGTTTCTCTCTTTGTCTCCCCTCCCCATTTAACTCATTGAGAACAGTTTTGATTGGTCAGGCTCCTCCAAGGATAGGTAGCAAACTGGAGCTGGGAAGGGAGTAGAGGGCTACCCTGGTTTTTCTAGGACCAACACAAGCAGACACACTTAAGGCGTGTCCTTGGAGGTGGGGAAGACAGGCTATGAAAGCGCTCACTTGCCACCTTACCCTGTTTTCTTTAGGAGGTTGGTGACCCTGAAATAGTGCCAGGGAATGTCATTGTTTTCTATGTACATGGCAGCCAATGTTACCTTACTTCTCTCATCTTTTTGTGGTAAAGTTTCAGTTAAAAAATAAAAAAGACTCTCCTTCAGAGACCATGACTAGTTTGTTTGTGTGTGTGTGTGTGTGTGTGTGTGTGTGTCTATGTGTGTGTGTGTGTTCTTTTGTGGAGGCAGACCAGACATCAGTGTCAGGTACCTTCCTTTATTGCTTTCCACTTTAATTACTTATTTTTGAGACAATGCATCCTACTGAATGTGAAGCTCAAAGATTGACTAGCCTGGCTGGCCTGTCTCTGCCCCTTAGCATTGAGACAACTGGTATACCACAGGGATTCTGAGGATCTAAACTTAGGTTCTCATACCTTACCCACTGACCTATCTTCTCAGCCCAGGATTGGATGAAGAATGTTCTGCTTTCTCCCAAGTCTGTCTTCAGGTGACTAACAGACTATCTTATACTTATAATAGGGATACGTATCAATAAATAGTCACGAGGGTTGAAATGATGGTTCAGTGGCTAAGAGCACTAACTATTCTTGCAGAGGACTCAGCCTTGACTCTCACCACCACATGCTGACTTACAGCTGTCTGTAGCTCCAACGGCAGGGAATCTGACACTTGGATATAAAAATGCACCCTTCATCTCGTACTACTGGGGAAAGCACGCATTTGCATGCTTACAGCTTCATCATTATGTGAACACTAGTAAAGAGAGTTCACTGAGGCACAAACATCCTTCCACCACATCTGCTTTGTATGTTTGAGTGCACATGCGCTCCAGTGTGTCAGTGAAAGCCAGGGGCATGATTAAAAGGGTGGGAGGGACCTTTGGTGACTTCTAAGTGCTACTGGAGCAAAACAAAGGAGACAGGAACTCTCCATGGAATTCCTGTTTTTGGAAGCACCCTAGACATCTCAATATGAGCTCAAACAAAGCCATACAAACTGCATGCACTTCGATAGGTCCCCAGCCCTGGGAGAGCTTTCATAGTGGGTTGGATCCCTGGTCGCATTAAGATATTTCTCTCTTGATCACTATATTTGACTCATTACTACAGGTAGATTACAGCAAGTCAAAAGACTTCCCAATGAGATAAATGCACAGCAGCAAATGCCACTGACCTACACAGGATATTTTTTAATACTCTTGGCATTTCAAAATAGATAGAATGAACTTATTTCTTCTTCTTCTTCTTCTTCTTCTTCTTCTTCTTCTTCTTCTTCTTCTTCTTCTTCTTCTCCTTCTCCTTCTCCTTCTCCTTCTCCTCCTCCTCCTCCTCCTCCTCCTCCTCCTCCTCCTCCTTCTTCTTCTTTCTTTAAAATTTTTTCACTGCCCTGTTGTAGAATATAAATGTATCTGTTCATATAAGTACAACTCAAGTTTGATGGACTGGTAGCTAAAATTGTACTGTAACAGTGAAGGGACAGGCTGACTATTAGGAAAAAATTTAACATGCTAGCATCTTCTTTTACTTTAATATTGTTTGTAGTATTAGGGATCAAACTCAGAGCCTTTGCAGTTCTAGGCAGGAGTTCTGCCTCATTTTTTGTTTGTTTGTTGTTCGAGATAAGAATTTCTCTGTGTAGCCCTGGCTGTCCAGGAACCCAGTAGACCAGGCTAGCCTTGCACTAAGAGAACCACCTGCCTCTGCCTCTCAAGTGCTGGGATTAAAGGCGTGCACCACTAACACTTAGCTTAATATGTTCTTTTAAATAAGTGGTATATACCAAAATAAACACAAAATCCTACATTTTCCTCCAAAAAGGGAAAAAAAACCATAATTTTCCTCTCACACCAACCACCTCCCAATTTTAGAAACACTTGATTAGGAAGAATGACAAGCTGAAGTGGGGGAAGACAATATAATAGCATATGTTCAAAAATATTTTGGGATTTTATAGATAGTGAGAACATCAAATTTCACAGTGTATCATGGCTGTCAAAAAGAAGACAAAGATGAAGATGAGAGAATGGGAAAAAGCAAATTATTAAAAGTATAAGAACTCTGTCTAGAGTAGACTCATGCTCACCTTGTCCTTCAGTACCTATTTGGGTAACGTCCTTAGATTCCCTTTTCTTCTTGGCTTTGTATCTTCTCTTGTACATACTGCTACACTCCTAGCGCTCTGGCTAGACTTCATTATTCACATATTGTTTCATCTGTTATTTATATTTACATTGAATTTTTGAAGTTCCAGCATTTGTTTGTTTTAGTTATCGTTTAATCCCTGATGCTAGGGAAAACATTCGGTGCTGGTCTGAATGAATAAATGGAAGTTCAGATGAATGAGGGCGAATTCAATGGATGGAAAGTGGAGATGGATTTAAGATCATGGTTATGAGTTAATGGCAATAGACAGAAAAAGAGAAGATTTCTGTCCTATGGGATAACTAGATTGGCTTTTTCTTTTTCTTTCCTTTTCTTCCACTGCCAGAGATTGAACCTATGGCCTCACACATGTTAGACAAGCCCTTCATCATTGAGCTATGTCCCCAGCCTTCAGACTGGTTTTACTGTGTCAGAAGTTTCAACCACTAGACAATGTCACATTTTGTTTATTTCACAACACCCATACTTTCCCATTTTGAGCTCACTGAAATGTCTGTACGTGCCTGTGAAAGCTGATATGCTAAGAAAGGATGACATCATGGTATAATTGGCTGATCCTTTTTTCCCCTCTGTGACACATATAATAATGACACCGCCTTCTACCATTGGTATCTTAGATCTGATGAAACGATGAAAGGGCATGCTTGATTTTTAGCTCAACTTACAGGACTTTCAGATTTTCTGGAGTTCAAGATGAGAGATGCTGGCAGCTTTAGGCAGAGATGAGTCCTACCCCTGAAGACATTTTGTCATGGCCTGGACGACCCTTGTCATGAATTCTGCACATCTTTATCAAACATGGTGTCAATGAATGTACATGCAAACTTTTGTTTTCAGATGCAAAAACAAGTATTAGCTATGTCAAATCCAATGCCTCAACTTCCTAGAGTTAGAGGGACTGGACAGGAATGATGCTCACTTCTCACTCGTAAATGGTTTGCATCCATTGTTGTTTAAAGACCAGATAATGGGCACATCAACATTTTGATAAGAACAATAACATGCACTGGATTCATAGGGTGTGCCAGGAAGCTGTTCTTTTTTTATTTTTAATTTCATGTGTGTGTTGCATGTGAAGTGCAAGTACTCATGGGGTCCAGAAGAGAGCATCAAACCCTGGGGAGATGGAGTTACAAGCACTTACATGTCACCCAGGGTGGGCGCTGGGAACCGAACTGAGATCCTCTACAGGAGCAGTGAGCTCTCTCAGCCGCAGACTCATCTCTCCAGTCCACCAGGCCCTTGTTCTTTTATGTAGATGATCTTATTTAGTCATCCTGACAATCTGTGCACGAGCTATGGTTACATCCTCATTTGCAGATCAGGGAAGTGAGGGATGGGAGGCAGTTTGCTTAAGGTCACGCAAGGTAAAGGCTCGCAGCTGAGATGCAAGCACACACTTTGAAGTGAGCTCCTGCAGGTGCTTTCAGTCCTCCAGAACTTACCGCGGAGCTTATATGCCATGATGTGAAAATTAGACCCTGCCACGGTCTGAACTGCCTGATTCTAAGATAAACATGTTTAGAGTGTTACACGGCCATCTTCTGTATTATTTGTCGCAAAAATCTGGACAATCGTTTCAGTTTTCTAATGGATCTATTTCCAAACCATATTTTTGCTGTCCAAAAAAAAATTTATATTCAACCCATATTTTTGCTTAATTTAAGGGCCAGTGAATAAGCATGATAGCCTTTTCTTTCAAATCAAGAAAATATCACTTTATTTTATGTTTGATGTCTACTACTGGCTTCCAACGTTTCCTACCTAAGGGTTCCCTAAAACTGAGAAAAGTCAGTGTGCCGTTCATTTCTTTTCCTTTTAAACAGCATTAGAATCCATTTTTGACCTCCATTTTCCATTTACTGTGTATGTTTGACCATCTACAAAGGTGTACTGACCCTCACTTGCTTTCCAACAGAGCTGATTCCGAGCCCTTCTTGACTTTCGGGGGACGTCTTGATTCCTCAGGAAGGAATCCTTCCTAGAGGGTCAGGAAGTGTTCTAAGTCACAGCTGAGGTCTTCTCTATACCCCTTGAAAATCTACTTAAAATTCTAGGGCATGGGTCTGTTCCTCGGGAGGCACGACCCATATATCTTTCCAAAACCCCAGATAGGGAGCCCGTAACAGATCAAAGTAAGATGCCACCCAAAATCCATCTTGGTGATCCAATGAGTTTTATTTGGGTTACTTAGAGGGAGTCTGGGTGACAGGTTAGTTACAGGAGAGATGGATCAAAGGCAGCTACATCACTAAAAGCCTGCCCCAGCATGAGTGACAGCTCACCAAAGCTGGAGCCCTGGAGCACACGGCAGGACTTGCTGTCAGTGGAATAGGGCTGAGGATCCCCTGAAGACAAGTTGACTGCTCACAGCTCTTTCCATTTGCATTTGTTTACTGCTTTCAAAACTTTGGGGAGGGTCCCTCATGAATCTTTTCCGGGGAGCAGGGGTTAGCATTCCCAGGCATGCAAAGTTTGTTTACTCTCTGATTCTTTGGAGCCTTCCCAGTCCATTCCTAGAGGGAATGTTTCAATTCAGAGGAAACTGTTTCACATAAAAAAATTCTTCTAGGATTAAAAAGAAAATAGAAATCCTTTTGAGTATTAGCAGATAAAGAACATGCTAAAGGTCTTACATGCAATTCTTAGGACTTATCCAGACGCCGTATGTTAAACATAGAACCAAACCTTTTGATGTACTGATGACTTGCAAAAAAAAACTGTGTCATTCTGGCCAAGTCTTTATCTTTTGGTCCATTTTCCTTACCTGTAAAACAAGGAATGCAGTGACCTAAGTTTTCACTCTCGTGGTTGTTTATTGAAGCTTATCTGTACTTGTTATTTTTCATATGGCCACTAGGGGGACAAAGGCAAGTTCTTTCTCCTCACGCTGCTGCTGCCCATTACTGATTCAGAACGATAGTCTTGAAGAACAACTGCAAGGAAAGCCGATTTTTGTTAATGAGACAGT